GCAGCTAACGCGAAGGCGCTCGCCTTGATCCTGTTTCGAGTGTTGTACGCCCACGGGCAGATAGCAGTGCCGCTTTCGAGGATAGCCTGATGAAACAGACCTGAAACGGACGATGATCACTGCGAATCGATTGACATCTATACTCTATTTCCCGAGTGACTAGGAGCAGCGGTGGTATAACTTTTCCCTCGGCCGGAAAGTGGAGACGACGCGAACATGGTGGGGACCATAGCGCTGCGGAGAGCTTCGCGAACGCGCATGAGCACGCATGAGGGGAATAGTAGTGTTGATCGAAATACGGGCGAAAAACAGGGGAAGCGAGCCTCGAGGTAAAAAATATCTCAACACTGCACTTAAGTCGCCATTTCCAACTTCCATTAAACACAATGAGTAAGTGTCACCGTGAAGTTTCTCACGTGGCAGGAACAGGGATCTCGTAATTTTTCGGTCGGCCGGAAAGTGGGGACGACGCGACCATGGTGGGGACTGGTACTTGATGGGGGTATGCTAGGCATGGTCAGCGAACGCGCGTGAGGAGAATAGTAGTGGGTGATCGAAATACGGGCGAAAAACAGGGGAAGCGAGCCGTCTGCGAAAAATTACGAGATCCCTGGATAGGACAATAAGGACACGCTCGTATTGGGAAGTGGTAAATATGGATGGGAGATGGGCAGAACGACTGAAAACTGAACCGTTCCGACTCCTAGTCACTCGAGAAATAGAGTATACGTTAAATCGTTAAGATACCTTCCGCTTGCGAGGACAACAAGTGAAAACTGACGCTGGCGCTACCAGCGCTCTCTCCAAATATGGTGACGCGATTCGGATCGCCTCCGAACGCGGCGATATTCCTTTGTACCCATTTCAACGCCAGAACTTGATCCTTGAGGCCACTATTACCCTTCACGCCTGGCAAATCTAAAGCCAAGAATCCTGCGAAACGTACAAGCGTTACGACTATGCGGGTAGTTGACGCGAGCTTGGCTGACAATTGAGGCTACCTAGAACGTCGAGGCGGTAGTTGAGGCTTACGAACACTACGTCGTCTTCGAGAAAGAAGTCGGGCGCGTAGAAATCCTGCAACGCCGCTCCCGTCGCAAAATCGCCACCGTAAATCCAAAACATCACCGGCTTCTTCGGATAGTCCTTCGTGATGTTACCAAAATTCACCTATCAAAAATGATCGTGTAAACTCACCTTTACCCGTTCTACGCATTGATATGAATGGAATTGTTAAGGAGATCGATAAAGATTTAACTTACCACAGGCGAGAATACATTCAAGTATAAACAATCTTCCTGTCCAACGTAGTTGGCGACCACATACTGAGGACAATACTTAAAATTCTCAGTAGCGTTTAAGACTTCTGTCCATGAGTCGACTTTGACCGGATCCTAAGGGCGCAAACGACTATATGGAATTCCGTTTGATTCATGGCGGATACGTACCATAAATGGCTTACCTTAAATCTGAGAGGACCGACAGGCGGTTTCCCGTAAGGAATTCCCTGGAAAGCGGAAAACGGTTTCGAGTGCCATATCGTTTCGAAGATTCTGCCACGTACGGGACCGTCGGCAGTTTGCACCACTTCGGTCATACGTTGGCATTCGACGGATGCCAGTAACGTGGCTACCGATAAGAGTATCGAAAAACTGAACATAGTGTATCTCTCTGTACTATCTACACCGTTTTCGTCAGCTTGAGTTAACGATACAGGCATCCGACGGCAGTGGCAACGTGAATTTATAATCGCCTTCTCGCGTACATGAGTCACCATGTCATAAATCCTGGCGTCCGTAACGCCTCGCTTAATTATTCACAAAACCAATTGCGCTTGACGTTTTTATGCATAAGTCATAATTTGCATAATGCAAAATGACAGTACGTGCGAAACTAATAATACAATAGAAAAAATTCACGTCAAACAGGTACCTAGCACGAATACTATATTGGCTAGTTTTTCTTCAATCGATTATGCTGTCAGTCGATGTTATCAAGAATCGCAAACACAGCTGACGAGAAGCGAACAATTGGATTGATGTTCATTAATGTGGTAATTCATTAATGTGGTAATAATTAATAATGTATTCTGCAATTATTGTCCATCTGTAATCCTATTTTTCATTGGATTAAATATTATTAAATGTAC